TTCTGGCCTTCCATGAAAATGCAGGAAAAACCCTTCTTTTGAAGGCTTTGTGGAACCACACTTTTCTGTCGTAATGAAACTCTGTCACAGAGAACGTATCCCTACAACGTACTCCCAAATCTGTAGGCCTCACCAACAACATCTCTGTAGTGAGAAGTTTGGCCTTCTTAAATAACACACCAACTTTCTCCTCTTGGGTAGTTTTTCTGTGTTGAATTCAGATGGGTGGAGCTGTTTTTAGTGGCATAAGGAGAGTTGAAAATTAACTGTAACAACATTAGAATCAAAGGTCCACAGAAGGCATATATCACCTTCATCTTAAGTCAGGTCTCGGATGTTCACCCAGCTTTGTTTTACAGAATTTTTTTTCAACACTCCTCAGACCACCTGCATCCTGGTCACGGGGCGTGCTTCCCATCCCAGGACATCGGAAAACCCAGAGGCCCGGGAATATGCATTTTAACAAGTTCCCCAGGTGAATCTTACATATAGTAACACTGAGAAGCACTGCTCTAAGACAGAACAAAATAAAGACATTCACCCATCAGCATTTTCTAAAAGAGGATAAGTCAGATATAAGAATAAATGTCCCATCAAAACCAATTATTCTAATGGTAACTTGTGATTAGTCAGAATGCTAACAACTACATGCAGTGCTGTCAAAGCATAACCAACTTCATGCGTGACCATGCAAAAGGCAACTGTTATTATTTTAATGAATAGTTTTAGGTATTCTTCTACTGAGTCAAAAGACAGAGCACCTTCAAGGGCATTAGAGATGGGAAACAAAATAAGAAAGGCAAAATCAAAGCTCTGACGTGCAGTCCTTGATGCACTCAATTTAGTTTTAAAGTGGAGAACAGCAGCCTCACCGGGAGACTCCGGCGACGAGTGTGCTGTGCCGATGTATGGTCCCGTTAATTATCATCTTAAGGGTAAAAATATATTTTAAAAACCGGAGTTCGCTAGATATTTTTTCAATGCAATGGAATGAAGGAAGCACAAAATCCTTTTGGAAAAAGTCCTTCAAGTGAGGACGTGTATAATCCGCTATAATAATTTCAGGGCTGAGTCACTTTAATGCTGAGTGTGATTAACGCTGGCGAGACTACATTTTTCTTCCTTTTAGTGTAATTTAAGTTTACAGGTTTTCAGAAAGCATAAGGCGTACAAACCCTTCTAGATGGATGTAAGAAGGGGAATTCTGAATTTAAATCTAAAGGCTTCGTTTTTGTTACTGGATTTGGGGTCTTTCTCAAAGAGCACTTTCTGGCCAAAGAGCCAACTGGGACATTTAATTTGAAAGGATACAGATCAGAAAATAATCAATTTTTCATTAGATAAAATGACTTTAAATTCAATCTTTTACAGGAAATGTAGAGGCTTGGGAATTCTTGATCTGATTTGAGTTCCCTGAAGAAGATACCGTCTTTCCCATCTGGTGTCTCTGCAGCTGCTACCCCAAAGCCTGGCAGACAGCGGTGCTCACAGGCCGCCGGGTGCGGGAGATGGTCAAGCACCCACACCTGGGTTCCAGACCCACCCATGAGGGTCAGAGCTGTACCCAGGAGGCTCTGGGCAAAAGAGAGCTCACTGTGGTGTGTGCACCTGCCCTCCGGCTCTCAGTCCCCAGGTAAGAACAGGTGCGTGGCATGTGTGTCTTTTAAAACAAAGGTGTACGAATGCTCATGAGATTAGTGGAAACGCCACAGGTCACTATCTCCCACGCAACACTATTAGGATCAGGCCACATGTCTGCCCAATCATCTCACCCAAGCGTAGGGACCCCCGTACTCCAAGTCAGGCTGCAACTGTCAGAGGTGGATGGAAGAGAAAAACAACAGAAAAGAGTTGCCCAAAATCAATTAAAAAGCTACCTAAGGCATAACAGAAACGTAAAACAAAAAACAGGCACTCTTGAAAATCTTAATGAAATTAAATTTTTTTCATGACTTCTAGGATCTCATATGTATTTACAAACGCAATTACATTAGCATTACCATAAAATCCATTAGCATTAAATGAAACTTCCATGGCAGATGTTGCCCTAATTCATGGAATCTGAAGCAGTCTGAGCAATCCTTTCTCCTCCTCTACCTAAAGCATTCTATTTATACTGGGCAAAATGTCAACAGAGGTGTCACTCTCAATTTTTAAGTAAAGAAAATTAAGTACTTAATGATATCTAAGTCTAGGTTTTCTAAGAATGTCCAAACGCTAGAAAAAAAGAAATTTCTTCCATTTTTAAGGGTTTATCGTCACCGTCAGTGGAGTAAAGAAGGCCTGTATTTTGAGAAAGTCAAGAGGTAACAGGGTCGCTGAACTTTGCAAACGAAAGATTTCCAAATATTAAAATATGAAAAACAGCAGAAACTGGCCCTCCGCAGAGATGGCCTGAGATGAGCCCCCCCGGCGGGGGAGGCGCAGTGGGGAACCCTGCCCGCCCGCCAACCAGGAGAGGCCACTTACGGGCCCCCCGAGGGTCTTTGGGATTGATGCTGTCACAGAACCCTGGCCCTGAGCAGGCCCCCTCGCTGCTCTGGGCTTGTTCTGTGTCTGTAAAAATTAGAAGGTTTGACGCATATCCCCAGGATCCAAGTTCTCAGGGTCTGTGATTTTTAACGTGAGTTATTTCTTTAGATCAAGTGCGTCACGGGAAAGAGCAGGGGAGCACGCCAGCCGGCTAGCGACGAAAACCCACCCACTGCTGACTTTCCACCTTGCCCCCATCTCTTACTGAGCACCCTAATTGTGGCGCTCCTCCATAAACTTTTATATCGTAAAACAAATAGGCTTGTATCTTGGCAAAGAATGGTGTCCAGCACAGAAATTTAGCTCATTTCTGGTTAAAGTCGCTGAAAATGAAATAAATGCTATAAACACCCAAACAACCACTAATAATACAATAGTTTTAAGCTCTTTGGGATCAGCTCTGAGAATCTTAAGAAAGTGACAGATTATTTTCCCAGAAAAATGCAAGTACAAACAAAATCTTGAATACAATTTCAAGGAGGATCGCAGATGGAAAATGCTGGGGTTTTGTTTGTTTGTTTGTTTTTTGCGGTACGCGGGCCTCTCACTGTTGTGGCCTCTCCCGTTGCGGAGCACGGGCTCCGGACGCGCAGGCTCAGCGGCCACGGCTCACGGGCCCAGCCGCTCCGCGGCACGTGGGATCTTCCCGGACCGGGGCACGAACCCGTGTCCCCCGCATCGGCAGGCGGACTCTCAACCACTGCGCCACCAGGGAAGCCCGGAAAATGCTGTTTTGAAAGAGAGTTTGGGTTCTTTCTCCAGTCTCTCTCCTATTCTCTCTTGAGCCCAAAACAGTCAGGTTTTGCACTCACTGTTTCCATCAAAAGTGCCCTTGTCAAGCTCACCAGCGTCTTGGCCAGTGGTCACGTGAGTCCTGTGCTCACATGATCACGTCCCTTCTTGAAAAGGTATCTTCTTCCCTTGGTTCCAAGGACCCGACCTTCTCCTGTGCCTGCTGGACAGCTGTAATTTCTGACCCTTGTCTACAGATTCTGCAAACTGAGTTTTGCACTGATAACGTTTAGGTTACATAAATCTTACTTCCTCTTGCGTGAATCATGTCAGAGGGTATGTGAGGAAGTTACAACTACATGGCTAAGGAGAAAGTTTCAAATAGCAAGGAAGCTTTTTAACTGACTTCACCTTTGAACTGTAACTTTCTGGCAAAACCACGATGGATATGCTTTTGGCACCTTCAGGACAATGACAATTGTTAACAGCAAAGCAACAGTGTACAGCCATCCTTCGGTATCTGCAGGGGGTTGGTTTCAGGACCCCCCCCCAGATACCAGAATCTGCAGATGCTCAAGTCCCTTATATAAAATGGCGTAGTATTTGCATATAACCTACGCACACCCTCCTGTACACATTCAGTCATCTCTAGATTACTTGTAATACCTAATACAATGTAAATGCTACATGAATAGTTGTAAATACAATGTAAAATGCTATGTAAATAATTGCCAGTTCAAGTTTTGCTTTATGGAACTTTCTGGAATTTTTCCCTCCGAATATTTTTAATCCGTGATTGGTTGAATCATGTGGAACCTGGGTATATGGAAGGCTGACTGTATCACCTTTATAGTTTATTGTTATAGACAGCTACATTAAATGTACATTTGGTGCGTATGTAAGAAGGCTAGGAGTTACATCACGATTTAATTGCCACGGTGATTAAAAACAAGCCTTCTGCCCCATACGGTCCTTCTGTAAAATGGAGTGGCTGTGTTGAGACCGAATTATTAGCAGCAGAGAGATGCAGCTCTAATCCAGTGGTAAACTACACTGACACGCTCAGATTAATTCACTGACTTAAAGGACTAAGCAAAACACGTTTTTCTCGACTTCACTTCCCAAAGCATGCCATGTTTTCAAGTATAATTATGAAGATTTTTGGAATGTTTAAGGAAAAATGTGTATTTGTGTTTATCAACCATCAGGCTGTCAGTGATGAAGAGATTTCATTATAGTTGATGAAAGGAAAGGCTCCTGAGGCCCCAGGCTGGATGGATTCAATGTGCCCCTGTGTTCCACCAGCAGCCTACAGCAGCTTTCAAGGAGCTATGGGAAACATCACTGAGTAATAGTTACTTTAACCGAGACTCCAATTTGCTGGGGAGCATGTGCACTTCCATTAGGACAGAATGAGCCTTCGTGCTCCTCTTCACCATGCTAGCAATGAGGCAACTTACTCTAAATGGGGCCGTTTTGTGATGTGGACCAACAAGAAGAAATGAGGACTTCCACTCTGGGGAGAAAGACACAACAAAACTGCTTACGCTTATCAATAATCTCTCTACATCACAAAGAGACATCCCACCATTGAACAGATTTTAAATAAGCACCTTAGTTAGATATTGACTATAAGGCTACAGGGATAATGAACAAGAACTTTGAATGCAGGGATGGAAGGGCCAGGAGCGTGGACACAGACTGTACCATGCAAACTCAACCATCTGGTTACTGACCCTCAGACTTCCGCGGCTACCCGCTGACACGCGATCATCTTCATCAGACGCCTAGTAAAAAGAAAGGATGAAAACAACCATGAGGCGATGATGTAACAGACACAGAGAAACCAGTGACCAGCTCTGAGGGAAGCGGCTGACCCGACACATGGCAGGGGGGCAGATCAGGCCCCTCTGAAAATCTCAGTGCACATGAGCCTGGGTTTTTGCCAAAAGGGCTTTGTTTGTGCACCTCTGTTTAACAGAAGACTGTTTCTGGATAACATGACTTTAACTTCACTACAGTGATGCTGTTCACTTCGCTGGTAACCTACAAACATGTAGCTTAATGCATATTGCTCTGCAAATTATTCATGGGTATTCAATAGCGAAAAAGCACTAAAACTGTCATGAATACATTAAGACTCAGAAAATTTTCAAACCCTCTCTCGCCTCACCAAAGTCAGGTCACAATGCTAAAAGCTGAGTTCACAGTCTTTGTTTAGGTAACAGTATCAGTGTTAGTTAATTTCTTTCATAAGTATCATTAAGATATAGATATAGATACAGATCTATAGATAGGTGTATATACATATAGACAGATGGATAGAGAGACAATTTATGTATTTCAGCCATTAAAACTGCAAATCAGATTTCAGTCAAAACGCTGAGGTAATGAATGAACACAGTACTAACCGACGTGTTTCTTCTGGATCTACGGGAGTAGCGCTCACTGTCTTCCTACCAAAGCAACGGAGGAAACAGCACAGAAAGGTTAGGGCAGACACAGGAGAAGGCTTAGATACTCCGTAATACAGTATTTCTGATATAAATGTCAAACAAATATTTTCTTTGCTTTTGCCTAAAGGCTTCAATTAAACCACTGGGGGAAAATGTTTTCTTCTAAAAGTGGGTGGGGGGCTTAAGCACACAAAGAATCGGCATATTTCATTTTGGCTTTAAAAGCAAGTGCGTGTTGGGTGAAAAGCAGGGTCTTAATTTTTTCCAAATCGAATGTGGTCCATTTAAATCAGCCTACTTTTCTTCTTACATTCAAAACCATACTCACTTCTCTTCAGGAACTGGAAGAGAAATCATTTGCATAAGAGATCCAATACGGATGCCACCCTATCTACTATATTTTTTGCATTCTAAGGTGCTCCATTTTGCATTTGGACATCTCTGAAGTTGGGACATATCTTATCATCCATGTTGCTCAAGATTATAATGAGCAACTTTTTTTTTTCTTTCTCAGTGGTATATAAAACACTGACACATCTTTTAACTGTGTCTTACGATTTGATAAACATACATCCGCCTGTGCCATATAAACTTAGAATGATGGCTTACACATAACAGAGGTTGAAGTTAATAATTTTTTAAATAGAGAAATTGTGTGCTCTTTATATTTCAACAACTGTTTTCTTTTATATTATACACAGATCTCTAAATGTTAGGTAATTTTATACTCCCTTAGATTATTTTATGTGTAAGGGACATCTAATAGGACAGTTCCATACTGGTCAGGTTCTCAAATGCTACAGGTATGTGATGATGTCCGTGAGGCCAGTCAGCAGGGTGACAAGGACGGGAAGAGGTGGGGAGCGCTCAGGTGGATGAATCCATAAGAGGAGGCATGAAGCCGGCTCCCTCGGGACCAGTGGACAGCTCTTGGAATCCCCCCCCCCCTTCTAGAACCTCCCGCCAGGGGGCAAGATCTCCCCCTGGGAGGGTCGTAAGGACAGGGGTATGGTGAGGGGCGGGCCAGCTCTTAACAGACTAAGGAGGACAGCTAAGTCGTGCCAGGAAACAGGGTGAGAAGGTAAAGGAATTTTCTCACCAGAGGACAGTGGTTTCTCAGGCACAGCGGATGAGGTTGGGGTTGGGGGCTACCCAGCAGTGAAGCATAGAGGTCGGAATGGGGTGACCGGGCAGCTGACTGCAATCGTGAGTGAAGGAATTGCAGCATCACGTGTCCCCCTGGATTCCAACTACAGCTGGCTGGACCGGAAGCTCGTGGGAAGGTTCTCGCGCCGGGGGCACACGCCCAGCCTGAGTGTCCCCAGTGGGGAGCCCACTGCAGAGGAGATCGGGGTCATGGTCAGGGTGGAGACCCTCACAAACGCTGGCCTGTAAGCTCCAGGAGTCAGCTGCTACTGAGCAGACCTGACACCAACCCTGGCCAGGGCACCTTCTAACCAGGCTTCACGTGGGAGGTAAACAACCAGGCCAGATGCAAGCATGCCCAGCAGGAAATCACTCAGTATCAAATTGGGGTGCAACAGGGATCTAGCCATGTAATTAAACTGTGGAAGAATGCAATTACAAACCGTTTAAGCTTTTAAAAATCAGATTCAAGGCCTACCATCCATTGCTCGATGTCGCCCCACTTTGTATCCAGCCCATAATATTTCTACAGACAGAAGGGAAAGAAAATGAGGCAAGAAGTGCAACGGTAATCGCATAGGACACTGTTCTGACATGCATTTCCAAACTGGTGCCAAGCCTCAGGGTCAAGGTAGCACGCCAAAGCAAAGCAGGGAAGCACATGGTCAGGCTCTGACCCCCACGCGGCCTGTGAAGACAGAGCCTCCCGACCCGCTCCCTCGGGGAAGACAAGAGAGCCCAGGACTAAGCAGTCCTGGGGCGAGGGGGTGGCCTCCGCAGAGACCAGGAATTCACACTGAGCCCAGCAGCTTTCAAGCCCCTCTGTAAAGCTGTCCATGCCTTCAGAGCAGGCATGTACTGCAGGAATAAAGCACGATTGAAGAGAAGCCAAAGCCATTCCCATGTTGCTACAACAGGAATGAGAAAGGGGGAGAGGGGGAGAAATGGTGTGCTGCCCCTAGATTTCTGGTACACTTGCTCCAGCTATCTGATAGCCATGCTAAATTTAGGCCCTCGAGAATTTCTGGGTTGGGGACGTCTTTATAACATGCCACTGATGGCAAGATGACCAAGCAGGCTGTTGCAGAAGCGGTCTTGGCCCAGGGAAGAAAAGTTCTGCTTGGTGTTTTCTTTAGCCAACACCTCCATGGTTTCAGCTTGCCTGTCTAAACCGCAATGGCCCGAGTTAGAAACAGAAAAGCAGATTCAGGGTGGCTACTACTGTTACTAAATACAGCAATTCCAAATTCAGGTGGGAACCCAGGTAGACTCTCAAATAATGGGGCTTTGCTGTCCTCCTCACTTTTCCCTCAATTTCTAGTAAGAAAAGCAAGAAACAACCATCCAAACCTCCCTATCGTATGACACAGATGGGATTTTCCTCTTACACGTGAAAAGCTTATCATCAGAAGAAAAAAACTGGATGCTAGAGTACACGACAATTTTTGAAATTGTTTTACAATGACCAAAACAGGCTGCTGCTATGTTTGGTTCAGTTTCCATTTATTTTGATGGGCGGCCAGATTTAAAACATATATATGGCTCTTCGATGGCCTTGCCCCTTTCTTCTAGAGGTGGCAGCAAGTAGAAAATTGGAAGAAGAAATTCAGGAGGGAGAATTTAACAGTGCTTTAAAAAATTCAAACAATACAGAACCCTAATATCCGGAGCACATAAGCCAGATCTTTTTCTGTAAGTTCCTTTCCTTAGACTATAAATCGAGAAAGGAAATAAACGTAAACACCTCCTCAAGTCATGCTTTAACATCAGTTTAAGTGAAATGCAACGGCTTAAAGCTATTCTGAGTTCAATTCACGTTAGCCCCACTCTCACTGTCAAATTCCAGATATGAAAATTTGATGCCATCAACCCTCCTTTATCTCAAGGCTTAATTGCAAAGACAGAAAGAAAATGTGGTTTTTAAAAAGGAGGGGGGCCTACAGAAATTGACAAAAAGTAAATTGCAAAAGAAGTCTGTGTTATCCGATTTTCTATTTCCATATTTCCCTTTTTGGCCAATTCTATACCCATATCAAATACTGCATTCTACCTGTTGGTCCTTTTAGGACAAAACTAAGAATCAGTATTTAAAGTCTTTCATCGAGTCCACAGGTGGCCTAATAAACAGCTGCTGTAGCTCTACAGCTCCACCTCCACGCCATTCCATGGAGGGAGGACACCCCTGCCAACAGTAAGTGCGGTTAACAAGTAGTCCTGGTGTTAGCTGGCAGTGGCAGCACAGCAAACTCTAGAAAGTGTACGATATTGCACATGTAAACTGCTATGATTAGCCAGCGAGTCATGCAGAAGGAAGCAAAAGCCAGACGAATGCAGAAGTGCTTGACTTTCAGAAACAGCTTTGATTCCGCAGGAGAGAAACCGTGATGGATGTAGCTGATGGGCCGGAACAGAGCCTTTACTCCTTCCTTTTCCGTTTCCTGAGTCTCAGTGACAAGGAAAGCCTTCCCTTCCCTTGGACACATCTTTATGATAAAAATGTGTATCTCTTTTCCCATGGAGGGCTTCCTGTGCTCCCTCTAGCTGTACTTTGTATACAAATGACCATTCTGACAAAGTTCTAAGGGTGTATCCCTGGTGAGTTGGTAAAAGGAAAATAATCTCGATCCAGCACCAGATGGGAATGAATCAAAGTGGAAATGACCACATAGGAGTCCCTTGTCTAGGTTTTAGGCAATTATGTCCTGCTCCATCGGATACTGTGATGGTTCCCAGCCTTGTCTTTTTGTTTGTTTTGGGTTTTTTTTTTTTTTGTGGTACGCGGACCTCTCACCGCTGTGGCCTCTCCCGTTGCGGAACACGGGCTCCGGACGCGCAGGCCCAGCAGCCATGGCTCACGGGCCCAGCCGCTCCGCGGCATGTGGGATCTTCCCGGACTGGGGCATGAACCTGTGTCCCCTGCACCGGCAGGCGGACTCTCAACCACTGCGCCACCAGGGGAGCCCCCGGCCTTGTCTTTTACCTATGAAATTCTTACCTAGATTCTCTGTGTGTGGGTTGGAACTCTAGCTTCAATACACATTTCTAAGTGGACCCTGCAAAAACTAACGAAGTCCAAATAGATTCTGGCACCTACTTAACTGGTTTCTTAACACTCTGGGGGACAGTATTTACGCAGAGTGAGGGGGGCAGGAAGGAAAGGCAATTTGGAACTGTAGCTGGTAAAGGAATCCAGAAACAGAATTTTAAATTTACTGATGTAGGGTGTTTAAAGGGTCGGCATGTTCTACCCTATGGAATTAAGTCACCTTGTTTTGACTTTCTTAGCTGCTCTCAAAGACAAATATAGTCCTTCTTTATCTATAAACTAAATAAATTTGTAAACACGAAGCTATTACAGGTGTCGTAAGCAACAACAATTCATTTTTGGGAAAGACTCACTGTAAACACTTTCTATAAGTTCCCAGGGAACCGCTTACTCCTTCCTTCGTTATTGTTGGATCAGGAGTCACTGACTTGGTTGTTTTCCTCTTTATTTTCTGTGTCTGGCCTGCTCAGTGTATTTATTTCTAAACCTCAGCTGCTTTTACAAAATACTAGGAAACAGAGAATACTGGAGATAGAAGGCAGGTGTGTTTTAAGCTGTTGGATTTTACTGTTATATCACCATTTTCTTTTTTTACTCAGATTTTAAATCAGCATGTAATAATCTCCTCATGTATGGTAATATGCCTCGATAGCTTAAACCCTTCCTAATAGAATTATATGACAGGATAATCTTTCTTTTTAAATATCTGATTTCAAAAGGTTTTCCAAACTCTGAGGTGTGATTTTTATTTTGTCTTAGAGTTAATTTTTCTTCTTCAACGATTTTCTAGTTTCTTGAGAAAAGGGAG